AAACGATCCATTAAGATCACCGATCACTTCACGTGCACCTCCGCCAATGTAATCTATTGCATAACTTGCACTTATTGCAAAAAGATATACATCGGCGAAACAGGCAGAAGACTAGGTGACCGATTCCGAGAACACCTTCGAGACGTGGAAAGGAATGACAAGGACACATCGAAACCAGTCGCTAGACATTTTAATTTACCTAATCATTCTAAGCAACATATGGCAATCTGCGGTCTTTCCTTACACTTAGGTAGCACGGAAAGCCGTAAAAATCTTGAACAAAAGCTCATCTTTCAAACCGGCAGTCTAAATCCCACAGGGATCAACGAACGCTTTTCATTCCACTAATTTATTCTTGTTTTTCTCGTTGCCATGTTCCCACCAATAACGTAGCTCCATTTTCTGCCTTTAAAAGCACACACAACCCACAATTCCTCTATTCGCTCCGACGAAGGGCTAACGCTCGAAACGTCAGCTTTTGTAATCGTTACGGTGGCCAATTTACCATTTCAACTTTGTTGATATATCCAAATTATTTCGTTACTCCCACCGACGCAGCCCCAAACAGTTTCTTTCGAAACTATCAGCTTTTATTCATTAGAAATGTCGGTCGACATAGAAAAATTGGAGTCGAACCAGGCCCCCAGATTGCGCTCTACTTTGACATGTTTAATATCGATCATGCCAACACGGACTGAACAGCGATCAATTTTCAGCAACTGTTGTCTCGATCCAATTACAAGAAATTCAGAATAAATAAGAAGGAGACCATTGTATAAGAAGGAGACCATAGAACCACAGAAACGACAATACACGGAAAGTGAAGTAGCTTTACATTTATTTTGAGCCTTAACATAGACATTCCTTCATATAAGTTTACGATATTACGACTCTTCAATATTCTCCCATACATTTCTTTATATTTCGAACAAACGACCAGACACGCCGCTTGTGTGGGGCGCCTGTGGTAGTTGTAGTTCCTTTTCTTTGCCGTTGTGGTCGATCAAGTTTTTAGTACTGCGTGCCATCGGTGTTGCAGGACCGATATGTAAGTTTTTAATATTAGCTTGCTACAGGACTTTCTAGCCATTGGTTATCTATGTTTTGTGCATTTTAATCAAGGATTTCGCGCCCTCGTGGTCGCGTGGAAATTTTGGTAATTCGTTTATTATCCCATTTTTATTGTGTAGCTTAGGTTTCTACCTTATCGTTGTGTTTCGTTTGCTAGTTGCCACGCGTGTTCTAACACTAGGGCCTCTTAATTTACTAATTTGAATATATCAACAAAGCTGGAATGGTAAATTGGCCACCGTTACGATTATAAAAGCTGACGTTTCGAGCGTTAGTCCTTCGTCTTTCGCTCCGACGAAAGGCTAACGCTCGAAACGTCAGCTTTTCTAATCGTAACGGTGGCCAATTTACCATTTCAACTTTGTCGATACATTGAAATTATTTCGTTACCCCCACTGACGCAGCCCCAAACAGTTTCTTTAGAAAATATCAGCCTTTATTCCTCTTAATTTACTGCTTTCAGTTTACGAGACACTATAGAACTTGATTAAAGTTCAATTACTTCGCCGTCTCTTTCATATATCCCCGTGTAATGGTACTATTTATCAGGTCGCCATTTTCTTTTCAATCCAATTTCGCCTTGATGTTCGCTTACCGCTGCATGCCAGAATCGTATGGGCTTCTCTTATATCTTCTCTTGATGTCACTAGGTATGACTGCTTGCTTCACCGATTTTTCTGTAACGTGTCAACCTCCTCTGATAACTAATATCTAAATGATATCTAAAGACGCAGAATGACGGAATATCCTATTACAAAAGTCTCAAAAACTGGATTTGCAATAAAATGAGAAAAAGTATTTCCAATTAGCGAGAAAATATAAAAGAGGCGTAAGTAATCATTGTTAGAGCCGAGGGAATGGGGGAACCACGAGACTTTCGAGTTATTCCCTTTGAATTATCATTATGTTACTATAATTGTAATCCATATTAACATTTTCATTATTGGTTGAATGAAAATTAGACGATGTGTTCTTAAACCATCTTTTCCTGAGGAACAGGTTACTTCAGTATAAATACGTGGAATGCTGCAGGTTTTCTGTCTTGCATGTGTGAAAATATTCTGCAACACTACCTCATTATACTACTTGAAGTTCTTTTCAATGCTACAAAAGTTGTGCTATACCAGTAGCCGCATGCAGTCTTTCACTATCTATCTTCTTATTTATTACTATTTTGTAGAAGTAAAAGGCAACGCAGCGCGCTTCGTACGCTGAGAGCTCCGCTATGAAAATCATACAAAAAAAATGAATACGAGAGCGATATTCGCAGTGATGAGCACTACATGAGCGGTGGCGAAAATAAGGCCTGATAAAAATTGTCTTCGCTGCAGACATTATTAGCTGACACACTAGCCGCCTGAAGGATTGATTTAAAAATTAGTGACTGACGCATCATTGGCCTCACCTAGATTAGCCTTAACGATAGTGCACTCTCCTCGAACATCAGCATCCATATAGTCTCATTGTCGAAATTCTTCCCTCGCAGCCAGCGGTTGGAATCTGGTAAGGCGATCATCAAAATAAGGAGCAGTGCCGGGGTAACTTCAGCTATAAAAGCCTGAGCCATTTCCAGCGACACAAGTGACTCATTGTGAAGGCTAATAAAGGGCTCAATGTTAGTGCTGGTCCTCAGCAGAGCAGCTTACACCCTTGGGCAAATGGTGGACACTAGATTGACCAATCAGAGTGCTGGTTTTACTTTGGTTTTGTTATAATATTGCATGTGTATTGGCCTACCTTATTATAGGAAATTAACGCTCCATCAAATTAAGGTGTTGGAAATTAACGCGACTTAAATTAACGCGAATTTAATGAAAAACGAGTTTCGAATAAAGAAAATTAACGCGAAAGAGGAGGTAGAATTTCACAATAAAGGAAATTAACGCGATTAAGACACAGTTGGTGGTGACATCTGGAACAAATTCATTTCAACACTGGATACCAAGAAATTTACAACTGGACAAAACTGAGCCATGTGGTTGTTGGTCACGTATCAAAATAACTGAGCTGTTATGTGTAGTATGCTTTGGAAGTAGGAGCCAAATTTACAGGAAGAGTTATTTCAGTGAAGCCGAAAAGATCGCCACTAATTCAAGGAGGCCTTGAAATACCAATGGTCGTTTCTGTCCAGTGGAGCAATGCGAGAGGTCTGGCGATTTTGAAAAAGAGAACAGAGGAAGTCTTAAACTTTGTCGAGAAAGACTATGTTGACGATTCGAAATCTATCTTGGCCGAAATCAAAGGAGAAGATATTGTCATCACTTCTGACAGCGAAAACGATAAAGATGAACTCGAAATTTTGTAAACCTTCGCCTTATCTTCTGTGAAAGATGAAAAATAAAGAGTAAATGGAAAGAAAGAAAGCTTGTAGTTAATGTTTTTTAAGTGTCCAGAATGTCTGGACAGGCTCTAAACTTGGGGTTAAATTACTGGAAATTAAGAGCGCGCAAATTAACGCTGCACTTAATTAACGTCGCGGAAATTAACGCTCAACAAAAATAACGCGACTTAAATTAACGCGAATTTTAACAATTCGCGTTAAATTCACGCAGCGTTAATTTTCTATAATAAGGTAGTTTTGTTGAGCAAGTCTGTGAGAACTGCTTGCAAAATTAGCCGGAATCCTTCATAAAACAAATGTTGCAAACGATAAAATACTTACTGGACTATTGCAGTACTCCACATCCTAAGCCTTTTAGGATCCGTCCAGCGTAAAGCATTTCAACATCCTTAGCGTAGCTAATGAGAAGCCATCTCAGAACGAATGGTATTGCGCACAACATGGAGTCAAAGAGACGGCTGAAATTCAGAGTAGGTGACAAACTTCCGACCAAACCTTTCCATCACCGGAACACTGACAGAACATCCAACAATGGCACCAAACGTAATTAACGACTACAAGCAAAAGAAAGAAGGCCGTTAAACTCCAGTTAGAGCTGAAAGGATCGAAACAGGAATGTTGGACGGTCTAAAATTTGCGTTTTAGGGAAAAACTTCGAAAGAAAATCCCATTGATTTCACTTTCTCTGGGCCCTTCTATGTAGGTCTCAACGGACCATATCCTTAAATTTGAAAGTTGGCTGATTACTATATTGAAATAAAAAGCCAGCGTCGATGCTTCCCTCCAAATGGTTCGACAAGATCGAAGGCTAAATAGTGGCGAAGACCGAGAAAATCCGCTTACATTCTCTTTCGCTTGCATCAAAGTCGCTAACGCGATGAATTTATATTAGCAATGACATCCAACGGCAGAAAAACATACTCTCACACTTTTATCACTTTTTTTTTTAATTAGTTTTATCTCTCTGTGTTTTCTGGTAATCTGCTTTATCCCTTCTTAAAAGCCTGGTGTCAGGCAACTATGATACAACAATAACCTACTGTTGGGATATTTTTCGTCCTCTGTCAGTTGATTTTCATGGGATGTGATGAAAACGATGAGTGATGTAATGAAACAAAGTTTTGAGTTAAAAATAGCAGTTGCTTTGTCATGTGAACCCGTGAGTACATCAATTCATGAAAACTTTATAAATAAGAGATTCGTAAACTAAGTGACCTTCGTAAGGTCGAGGGTTATTTTTGGTTCAAGGTAAAATGATAAAAATAAAAAAGTGAGTTATCGTTAATTTGGGTTCCTGCGGATAAACCCTGTTAGGTGAGCTGGAATGGATCCACGCACGTGCCACGAAGATAATTTACGGCTCAGCCTGATCTAGACCCAGCGATAAGGTGTTTGCTCGTGCAAAGTGTTTCTTGCTAAGTGATTTGTAAAAGTTTAGAATGCTACTCCTGGCTCAAAGATTTTTCTGATGAACTTCTCCATTTTGTATCCAAAAATAATCTAAGAGGTTTATGCCGGCACAGACAACTTACGTAGGAAAATGAGGTATAGCTTTGGAAACCGAACCTCTACCGCAAATCTATCTGCTACAAGTCAATAAACGCTTGGTTCTCTTGAGATAAGCAAACAAGTAAACTATACAAACGAGAATATTCTCAAGTTACTTTGAAAAATAATCCTATGTAATAAATATTTTAGGTTACTGTTTTACAAGTCAATAGCTGTGGGTTAAAATTGTCTTAGGATGAGGGGAACTTTGGGATTTTCGGTTTTGCGGTTCTGATTGTTATTTAATATAAGAGGAAAATCGAGTTTCCGGATGGGATTTTTCTCTTATATTAAAAGTTGTTTATTTTCATCTTTACATGATTGTTTTTTTAATCGGTTTTTCGGTTTTTGGGCCAAAAAGGTTCAGTTTTTCGGTTTTGATGTTCAGAGCGGTTTGCGGATTTTACGTGTTTTTGCATTCGGTTTTTGGTTTTCACGAAAACTCTTGATGCGGTTTTCGGTTTTTCCTTTTTGACCCCTTTAAATATGAAAATGTAGCGATTTTGTCAGGTTTGCATGCGGTTTTCGGTTTTGCTGCCTTTTTTCGTCGTTATTTTTCTTCTCCGGTTTTGCGGTTTCCCAGGAGCCCCAATGCCCCCCCCTAGGATCATAGTGAATAAGTTGTCAAGTATTAAAATGTATCGAGATATATGGCGACAACACTTTTCTATTGTTGTTCCATTTTCATACGAATCTACTCTTACGCGGAATATACATTAAAAAGATCAATTCAATTGAGCATATGATCTTAAAGCATTCCAAAATGAGCCTCCAGAAATAATAATAATATAATATAATAATAGTAATAGTAATAATAATAGTAATAATAATAATAGTAATAATAGTGTATGATAATCTCACGGGGGAGAATCCTAAACCATATCAAAATTACAAAGAAGAAATCAGTTGTCAATTAAAACAATACCACAACCGAAATAAGAATTCTTGTTACAAGTGCAACCCGATAACAAGGCAATAGTTCCTTGCGTGAGCATTGGCACGGCCGTGCTTGAAGCGTTCCATGCGGAAAAAAACAGCCAAATTTCAACGCACATGCGAACGAAGAAGTAACTGAACAACGTGTTTACACGCCGTCAGAACCAAGTTGTCTTGGGGTTTTTTGTTATGTTTTTGTGCGTGTCCATTATTTTCAATTTGTGCGGGAAACTGGCACGTGGCCGGCCAAATTTTATCCAATGGCGTATACCTGACGTTTGAAAGGTTTCCTATCCACACGTGAGGATTCATCTGCGTAGCTATTCTGTGAAATATGACGCATCACTCCAACCAAGCCTTACAACATGTCAATAACAAAGACTTGGAACGGGTGTCTATGCTAATGATCACGTGTCTTCGAATATATAATGACACCAGCTTGCAGCACCTGTTCCGAATCAAAGAATTGAGCCTTTTCTATCGAAAGAAGCATCAATCATAGCAGAATTAGGACAAAACAACATGCACTCGCACTCTCCCCAGTCCAATGAAATGAGTGTGTTTCAAGACAGAGTTGGCAGATCAATCCTTGCAACCTTTATTGCAGCACTTGGTACGGTCAGCTTTGGGTTTTGTCTGGGATATTCATCGTCTGCGTTGGTGGATTTACAAAGCAGTGATGCACCTTCTGCAGTTCGTTTATCCGACGATCAGGCATCTTGGTTCTCGGTAAGTTTCCTTTTTTAATGCCACTATGAGTACCCCATAATTGCTTCGGGTTTTCTTTTTGAATGTGTACATCGTGAAATGGCCACTTATGTAGCGCCAGACTAAACTTAATTAAAGTTTTGAACAGTATCAATAAAAGAATTAAAAAAAAATCGTGGCGAAAACGTAAATAGATTGGAATAATTATTACTCCTTCGGTTAAACCAAATAACGCCTCCCAGATAAATAACGCCCAGCAGGTTTTTTCTTTTGGTATTACCGTCACTTTGGCAAAGGAGGCCTTTTTGCCTGTTTGGTATCCCTCAATACATTACATTTCGCACATTTTGTTTTTCTGTGGCTACAACTGTTTGTTCGATAACTGAAGAGCACATGACTCGCACGAGAGTCACATGATTTACGATGGGATCTATTTGAAAATGATGTGGATCAGTGCTTTTAGAATTAAAACAATTGCAAAAAATAAAAAAAAATAAAAAAAAACAGCGACAAGACAATGAAGTGAAACCCTTGAAAATTTTTAGTAGCAGTTGTAGAAGACAAGTGAAGATTTTTACAAAAATCTTATCCTAATAGGAATTGTGCGTGTAACTTCAGTTCTTCGACGTTGACTGCTGTTGATGCTTTATTCGGTAGAGCCACGGATTTTCTTCGCATTCAGATAAAAGAAATGTTTCGAAATACTTGCAGTTTCCCACTCTATGAGTAAAACGATCGTTTCCCACTAAATAGTCTTTAGTTACCCTATCGATCCAAAACCCTAATTTCGAATAATATTACTGAAAGATCCTTACTCGGAGTTACGCCATGACCGATGGACTCGATTTTCCAAGTATGCATAAAGTATTTATTCGTAAACTCCTTTCTTATAACTTGTTCTTATGATTTGATCAGCCCAGCATGTGTAAAGGAAATAAGGAAAACTATACGCATCGTGGACGACTCTTCATGGCGTGACAAGCCTTACGCTAGCTTCATGGCGTGACAAGCTTCAGTTAAGAAAGCTTACGCTATCTTCATGCATTTTCAATGCTAG